AAAGATGTAAAAATTGTTATGAATATATATGTAAAATACACGCCACAAGCGCTGTAATTCAATTGGATCAAATTATTATTTCCATTTCCAGCAATCAAGCTAGTAATTCGGTATAATATATATAATGCTGGTCGACAGTATGTTTTTACACTCGTTATTGTGTCGCGCATTTGATCGATTAGAATTTTTGATACGTTGATAGAAAAAATTTATCACAGCCAAAAAATATTTAACCGAATAAACTACCAAATATTCTCTTGAGACAAGAATGATGTATTTTTTTTTTTTTTTTTTCGTTAAACAATTATGTAAAATAAACACTTTCTCAATCTATTAAAATACATACGCATGAAATTGTTATGATAAAAAAAGTTTCTTGATTCTGAAAAATTTTTTGTCAGTACAATCGGTATAAATACATATTTGACCATGAGTGAACGAATGTACAATAAAAATGCTCACCGTGAAGTGTTCGGCCGAGGAAAAGTCTTCGTCCAAGAAAACCCTGACTTTGTCGAAGAGCCGCAGCTCTTCCGAAGACATCAACAACCTGAAACCAAACAAATATTTTCATTTCATCGATTATTATACATATATGTGATGAGTAAGTATGTCGTCCTAAATATGTTTACCTATACATATACGAAAGAGCGCAACGACAATTACTGTCTAACTCTCAAATTGGTTACACACACCGGAACTCACGCGCGTGCAAGAAAAAAAAAAAAACACACATCGTGAGAAAGCCGGTAATTCGCGTAAAAACAGATAAGATTAGAGAGGACGGCATAAAAACATAGAGATAATTATCCCTCGCGCTTATCAATACGTAAATAAATACACGACACGTATAATTGTGTAGTACGCGTATTATTATACGGATGTTATGTCAAATGTAGACGCGTGAAATAGCTCACTACCACCACTGCATCGTTTATCGAATTGCCTTGGAAAAAAAAAAAAAAAAAAAAAAAAAAGCCAAGTTATTATTATTATGACAGTTGCGGGGAAAGCTCCCGCTTATTATTTGTTCAAAAAGCTCGTCGCAACCCTTCCGCAACCCTCCCGTCGCGCATCTTTTTTTTTCTTTTACGTACTTGCGGATCATCGCATCGAGGACACGAGGTAGAAAGAAGAAAAAAAAAGCAAATCGATAGGAGGGGGGGGGGGAGGTTGAAAGCTCCGCGGAGCCTCATTAATCTCGTACACGGTAATACCTCTCGACCATCAGGTGACTCGCGACCTCGCACTATATGCTACACACCTCGTACACGAAGCTTGCGCGCTTGGTTCTGTACATATATATATACAACCATTGTGCTCCTTCCACGGCTAATCTTGACGCGCTTGCTATACTCCCCCGGTGGTATAGGTGGAGCTTTTTTTTTTTATCTCTTCATCTCTATCAAATCGTGCGGTTTCTTTTTGAAGCGGCTCGCTCAACTGTGTTGTACACACGCCCTATTTTCAACCCTCCTCGCTCAAGTATTATAATGTACTTTCTCGCTACCCCGTAAGGTGTGCGCACGTATATTTGTATATTTTTATATCGGGGCAATAAATATGTGTTATAAAATGTAGGTGGGGAGAAATCGGCACTAAGGGTTTTTCTTTTTTTTTCATCATCGAGCTAAGTAGGTGCACTTTTTTTTAGAGAATGTCTGGAGAATGTATTGGGAAAATTTCTATAGGTGCATCCATCGAACTATTTGGATGGTAGGAACGTATCCCTATATTGAAGTTAAAATTTTTCAGGCTTGGGCGCAGTTGCATCGTATGGATTTTTTAACGCTTTAAAATAAATTTTTCTTTCTTCTTACGTCCAGTATATTCTGTGTAATTAGTTCAAGTATTGACATTGAAATTTATTAATACTTTCTCAAATAATTTTATTAATTTAATTTTTGTTTTAATTGTAACGCATTGTTATTGTTGGAAAACATTTTTTCAAGCAATGTGTTTTAAGTAGTGATTACAAAAATTGTTTTTCCGTACACATGATGGGTTAAATTATTAGTGAAAAATTTGAAAGAGTATCCGTGCTCTGGTCTGGGCATAGTGTGTCTATTTGATCGAAGATTACAAGCTGAAAATAGTTGGAAAAAACGTAAAAGATTGAAAACGGTTATCAAGGTTTAAAAGAAAGGCTTGGATAAATTACATCGTCAAAAGCTTCTTTTTTTTTTTTCGTATAACGTGGAAGTATCGATAAAACAGTGTTCGATTAAAATATAATTCCTTAAAACACGCTTAATTCCACCGAAATTTCTCAAATTATAATTAAGTGCACCTATAACTCGAAATAGTTACAATTTCCAGGTAAGTGGGCCAACCCCCTTAAACGAGAGCAAATTCAATAATTCAACGTTGGCCAAGAAAAAGAGTACGAGTAACGTTCGATCAGTGAGCCGGTGAACCGCAAGTTTTATCGCTCGGCTAAAATTAAAATCTCGGCCGCGAAAATTAATTCATTGACTCCCCCCCCCCATACTATACACTACGTAAGAGCGACCCGCTTGGATTTAAAGTTTTATAGTATTCGTGCCAAAGTTTCGGTGTAGGGGAATCTTCTTCTAAATAACCATTTCTTCAGTAACGAGGTCTATTGTTATATATCATACATATATATTAGTTGTACATCGAGGTTTTAAAGTTAAAAAAAATTGACTAGACTGGCTATTACTTTTGTAGTAACATGCATCATAATCAGACAAACTTTTTTGCACAGTTTCAAGATCTTGGCGTACGATTGAATTGAAATAAAATATATATGTGTATGTGTAATATATAAAGCTTTGAGTATTTTTTAGTCCAATCAGAGATAGATTCTAACGTGTCAGTTTTACTATGAAAATAAAAAAAAATGATTATTGAAAATACTAAACATAAATATTTCATACACTCTGTCATAAAGAGAGTCCTCTGTTTTAACAAAGGATTGACTAAAGAACAAAATTATATCAAAAAAACAATTTAAAAAAAAGAAAAAAAAAAAAAAAAAGTATTGGTACAATTGATTTTCCGCTGCAAAAGGACTTTTCCTTCCCTTCAAATAAATTTCCAACTCACCGACCAGCCTCGATATTCAAAAGGAAACCCAAGCCATATCCATTATTCAAATTTCCTCCCAATCTACCTTGAAATACCCACTCTATATACAGCCACACACGCACGGTGGAGAGGAAGCCACCCCCTTAGCAGTGGAAAAGGATAAAATTAACTGAGGCACTGACCGTCTCCATGGCGACGAAATTACTGGCATCGTGAAAGAGATGAATGTTTATGAGATCGAAGACGGTGCCACTGATGCTCCACCGCGTCCTCAGGAAGCCCTTCCTCGACCACTTGGCGTCCGGGAAAAAGTGCTGCGGAAACTTGGCCTTCTCCTTACCAGGCACGGCCTCGATGTTCCCCGAGTGTATTTCTTGATCAGTCACGGGCACGAAAACTGATTCTGCAAGCATTATTGTTTTTTTTTTTTTTTTTTTTTTCCTCATGTATTCGCGCATGGAAATAGGGCGAGGTCTTGGAGGCTGTTGCACGTATTTTCATCGTACACGAAATGTGTAATCAACAAATTGTTAAATAACTAGACGCCACACATTCCAGTGTAGGCGTTAGAATTTAACATGGATTTTATGATGTTATTCGTGAATTGGTGAAAAATAATTACAACCTTTNCCCCCCCCCCATACTATACACTACGTAAGAGCGACCCGCTTGGATTTAAAGTTTTGCTATATTAACGAGGATTTTAATTTTTAAAAATAAGGAGAATTTTTTTCTTTCTCTGGAGAGCCTCACGATTTCAAGTTGCGGCTGCTGAGATGCGTGTACAAGACTTTCTTGAACGATATGTGTGTATAATTGAATTTTTTCAGGTCGGGTGAGGCGTGGGGATTTAATGGAGAGCGAAAAAGCTATCTTGGCACTGGAGCGAAAAATTAGTCATTACGAGATATAATTGTATTACGCGAGTGCTCGTAGCTACCGAAGCTCTTGACGTTAACTTAATAATAACGTTTGAACGAATCAGAGTCCAGTGCGGCTCTATTTTACTGGGTGGTAATTAAGTTTCTGTTAAAGTTTTCTTTTCCAAAGTGGAGTGTCAAATGAATGAGAAATCAATAAAATTTTTCCATGAAAGATGTAAAAATTGTTATGACGTCGTGAACGACTGCATTATCTATCCGTTTCAAATCTAACTATTATGGAGCACAAGAATTTTTAACAACATTTAGACTTGGAATTAATTTCAATTTAATTTTTTTTTTTTTAGTAACATATTTGCGGTGGAAATTTTTTTTTAATCCAACAAAAATAGTATAGTACGTTTAGAAAAAAAGGGCTTAGCAGAAAAAAGCTCTCAAGTATTAAAATACTTGAAAATAAATACCATTCTCTACAAAAATTTACCAGAACATTTTTGCTAGAAACAGTTTCGTTGCATATTTTATTTTCGGTAGAGATGAAAAAAAAACAAAAAAAAATTTCTGCGGTAAAAATAATTTACAAAAAAAACTTTGTGTTGGTCAATGTATGAAAAAAGAAAAAAAAATTGCATTAAACCTTAACACAATATTAACCCATTGGGCCAACAGTTTAATAAAACTCTTTTCGCGAAAAAAAAGAAGTAACCCGTGTCAACCCACCGTATATACACATTGACAAAGACACCCATCAAGTGTCAAATTCACTTGCACTGGCATGAAATCGCGTGCCCGACGAGAAACAGCAGCGAAAAGACGCGCACAAAACCATTAATAACCAACCAGACAGACAGACAGACAGTTTAACCTCGAGCCTAGATTCTACGAAGAGATACAGATCAACGTATACACATATAGATGGAGAGAGGAAGAGAAAAAGCTCGCACCTTATCATGTGACAGCGAGCGGTACTTTAAACCAATGTGGGCTCCACGGGGGTACTCGCCACGCCTAAAGATAAGGAAAACGCAGATTGACCCCAATATTATTATTTTGACCCCTGTCGCGGAAGTGCCATGTTTAATATTATAGTTCAAGTAAAGCAGGAGGTGGAGACAATCACCTCCCACGGTTTGGATGGCAATTTGATTACTGTGGGCATTGATTATCAAGCGGTGTCTTTTTTTTCCACATCGGTGGTTGGCAGCTATTTGACGTTAGTTTTTGCTTTTTAATCGAAATTTATATGGTAGTTTCAAAGAGAGAGTTTTTTTTATTATTATTATTATTTTTTTTTTTTTTTACAGTTGACATACATTTTGTAAAGGAAATAAAATGTATTCGTATCAGTGGCGCGTAGAAATTTTTGTCGTTACTATTTTTCGTATTTCTGGGAGAGAAGAAAAACCATCCCCGATTCTTTTTTCTACCACTATTACTCTTAACGGGAAACAAGAGCTCAGACTTGGGCACTATTATTTTGAATAGATTTTTGAACGTTTTGAAATAAATTTTCTTCCAAAAATTCAACGCATCATTTCTGCTGGAGAAAATTATTTTATCATTAATTATCTATTAAAATAAAAAACAGAAAAATATTTTTTTTTAACAATAAAAAATCATGAATCATTTTCTATTTCAAAATGCGGTCCATTAGTTTTGTTTGAAATAATTTTTCCAAGCAACTCATTACATGGAGTAATGAAACAAAATATATTTACAGCAGAGACAATGTACTATATTCTTAGAAAAAAATTTCATCGTGAAGTAATTGAAAAAGTATCCATCCCCAATTCTCTTTAAAGCAACAAAGCTTTTACTTCGAGATGAAAAAAAGATGAAATTCTTGGTCGTGGCCATTCACACTTCGAATTAAGTATCTCTAATAAAAATGTTTCGCTGCGTAAGTCTAATTTTGTAAATCAGATTTATGACGGCTTCAAGATAAAAAAAAAAAAAAAAATGCAAATGGATCTCATACACGTACCTCACGAAATCCTTGACGTGCCTCATGCTCTCTTCGTAGTTCTTCCCTCCCACTTCCTGGCAGTGTAGGGCAACGAACTTTGGATTGAGTCTTGATATCGTCTGCCACGATGCATGAAACACAGAAAAATGAACGATTGATTAAATAAAATCAATGTGCTGGCTGCTCTGTCAGGATTTTTTTTTCTTTTTTTTTTTTTTTTTCTTTATTCAACTTACCGATAAAAATTCCTCCGTCCATACCTTTAGCATAGAACTCGGCTAGAACAGAAAAAAAAAAGATAATAATAAAGACCCTTTTTTTATTCAATACAAATCATGGCAACTGTTCGTAATCGCATTAAGTATTTAATTGAGCCCAAGTATTATGTTACGGAATTGATAAGATATCTTGATAAAAGTAATTCTCTAGCACGATGAAACAAGCTTTCTTTGATTTTTTATGATTATAATACATAATTCAATTTTAATTTAACTTGCTTACCAGCTACGCTTTAAATTTGACAATTCATAGCCTATTAAATTATTTACGTAATAAAAATCACGTTAAATTTTCATCAATCAAAAAAAAAGTAAAAAAAAATTAATCATACTCCAAGAGAAAAAAGTAATTCATCTACTCAACATTTAATTTTTTTTTTTTTTTTTTCTTTCCGATGAAAAGACATTTTTTAATATTATTAACGTTTGGGAAACTATAGTATATATCTCTGATATAAATGAAGAAATATCTCGTTGTTTTGCCAATTTAATACAGTTCCAAAAACTAGCTTTTCTATTACATTACGACACGTTATGAATTTTTGGGTTACTAATGTAGTCTTCTTCTTTGAAGTAATAATTACGTGCTCGACTCGCCAATTTCGCAATTCAACTCAAAAGCAACAACAAATACGCGGCTTACCACAAACGTAATTACTGTTTTAATCTGTTGAGAAATAGATGCACTAACGTATTTGAGGAAGATGGGCTAAAGAGAACTGCTTGCAGGTCTTTGCACATAGCAAATGCATTTTAAATATTCATAGAATCCCATAATGGATCTGTGAAACATTACATTAGATTTTAGAATTTTAAAACCTATTTTTTACTGTAAACTATGTGCATCTTAAATTGAATAGTATCACGAAGCCCAAGTAAGTGAAAAAAGTTAAGTTTGTTTATTTTCGTCTTCATTTAAAATTTTTTGTTTTTTTTTCATCTAGTTTTTTGTATTCAATTATTTTGGCATGATGGAAATAAGAAATCAATAAAATGATACTTTTTTAGTCTTGAGCACAATCAATTAGGTACATCAAGCTAGCATTATGTACTTGATTGCATTCCCCATTCCCAATATTATGTTAACACATTAAAACAAAAGTTCTTTTCTGAAATTTTAATGTATTATTTAAGCACAAAAATATTTTTTACACTACAGCGTGCAACGTATGTTACACAACAGAAAATTGGCAAATTTTTTTCCCGTAAAAAATTGAATTATGTATTTTTAAAAAAAATAATTTTATTTTGAAATATTTTAATTCTTTTTTCTTAACTTTTTATTTTAAATTTTGTACTCCTTATAATAAATACATGATTTATCTTTTTTACTAAAACTTCTTCAAGTGTTACAAATATTCAAATATATACTTATTCTTGGAAAAAGCTTTTAAGACAAAGTATGACCTACACGTTCCCAAATTTAAAAAACGAAGAAAAACGAGAAAAATTTCACAATTCACCATGCGATTTCGATAATCGGTATTAAATTTCAACATTAAAACTCATGGCGAAAAAGAAAAACCGTGAGCCGATAATTACCTCCTCGAAGATGCTGCCGACGTTGGCGGTGATGAGCAGAAATGGCACGCCGGCTGATGACATTTTCACGGGGCCTCTGCAGCTGCGCTTCCGCCTACGCTGCAGCCAAAAGCAACCAGACTGGAAATTGAAGTGCTGAAGTGAGAAATTGTGGAGAAAATTCGCCGTCCGGCAACACTCGTATAACAAAGGTTGAGTTTATATTGATTCATTTTTTTTTTTTCTTTCACGATATCGATTCCAAGAAATCGAATCAGCTTCGGAGTGATTCACGTTTATTTACAAGTGCAATGTGTGTTTTTTTTTTTTTTTTTTTTTTTTTTTTTTTTTTTCTCTTAACCAATGGCGAATACGTAAATTCTTGACGCAAGTTAAGAGTGCTCGGGCTAAAGTTAGAGATTCGGGAAATGCGCGTAATTTTCTAACTGTATTTGAAACGTTGACCGCGCGTGGAGTTATTTTTGTGTTTTCACGGTTATTTGGCGTAAGTGGCTTTGCAAGTGGTACAAATTTTAAAAAGAGTCATGTGTCGTAAACAAGAATCCCGATAGGGGAACCGGTGCTATTCCGGGCTTTCGGAAGTAATAACATTTTATTATGTCGTACGCCTCGGGAACGGAGCTTTTAATTTATTTTTCAATATGTTTTTGCATCGAAGTATAATTATGTACATACAACAAGCACTTGAATATTGTAACACTATCAAGCCAACAGTGCTATTTCAGAGGTATATATAAAAAATAATAATAATAATTTTGGTACATTAAAATTTTAATTAGTCATAAATATAGTCATGCGCCGAAACAAGACGTATTTTTTTAACCATATGGTGCAATAAATTTTATTTTTTACAATATAAAACAAATGTATTTTTTCTGATTTTTTGGCCCGCAAAAAGAATTCAACAAATATATCAACGCAGGCTTCTATGGAAGAAAAACTTTTTGTTTTGTTTTTTTCTTAAGTCTATTTTTACTCTAAACAAAACCTATTGTAACGTACGATAGTATAGGTGAGACTCTACGCTCCCTCTCCTCAAACCTCATAACGAGGGGCCCTAGGGTCAAGGGAAGGGAAGTGCGAGCAAGGAGAGAGTCTATATTCGGGAAGTACACGACGAGCCTTCGAAGGGAACACACGCGCTATCTTGCCTATGACTACGGTATGTTGAATAAAGGTCCTTGAAGTAATAATCGTTGATCATTCTCGCGAAGCACCTCCTTACCAATATCTTCCCTACGTAACACTATAGTTTGCTCCTAAAATCACGTATGTTTTTTTTTTTTTTTTTTCTTCTCCAAAATTCTGAAAATATGAATGTGTGCTTTTAAAATTTTCCAAATCCACAAATATTATTTTAGCTAGAATTTTAATCTCGAGGACACAGAAAACCTATAACTCTCAAAAAAATCACGTCTATCCACTGCTATATATACCATAAAAGTACACACGGCGCTTAAACACAACAATCGTATCTCCAAAGAGAGAAAAAAAAAAAAAGATTTTCGATAAACGATTCGCAACAGAATTCCATTGTTGTCGCAACCGCTCACGCGCACATGGGGATCCTTTATTCCCGAGAAGCTAATCGCCCGTCGACTCGAAAAAGAACTTTTTTTTTCTGCTCCGCGGCGCTTTTCTTCCCGTCTTTAATGGCCCACTGCAGCTTTACCGTTCGTGTATACGTATATGCACGTGCTGGCAGGGTTGAAAGCGCGAAAAAGAGAAAACCGGAAGCTTCGAGCCACACGTGCGCTCTTAAAATACGACACAGAAGTGCAATTACCGGGTGTGAAGATGATTACGCTTTCTCGAGAAGTCACATACGCTTAAGAGCTTTTTTTCATGGTACATCTCGAAAGTATATAATATAGTTACTCGTGTACCACTTTTGTCGAAGCTTTCGAGCTTTGAGAGCTTTTACAGATTGCATCGTGTTCTTATCCGTCAAGTTGAGGTTCTACAAATACGATGGATTTTGTGATTTTTTTACTTTTAATAAATTGATTTCTCAATTACGATTTAACAATAAAAATAGTTTTGAAAACTTTAATGGGATACGATTGGATTTTTTTTTAATAGTGGAAAAAATAATTTTTTTTTTTTCACATTCCGGTATCAGATACGTGGATTATAAAGGTTGTTTGGTTTTCTAATATCCGTTGGACAAATTAAATCTAATTAAACAATTTGTTTTATTATTATGTTTCCTATTTATTGTTAAAAAAATCTGCTGATACATTTCATACAATATCCCTAATAATTGTGTCTTGAAAAAAATAAAGTACAGCTGATTATTTTCTTCACGTAGAAATAAAAAAAAATTCAAGCTTCACTCATTTGTTCATTTTTTAAAAATATCTAAAGTACGATAGACATTGTCAAAAGTATTTATTTTACTTTTTTTTCCTTACATAGATTTATCATATCATCAATAAAAAAATTAACATTTTAATGTTATAAAAAACTTAACTCCAACAATCTTTCAAAATGTTTTTAAATGGCACTACACTGACAGAGTAAAATTTTTCCAGCCCGTAAAGTACCGTTTAATGATTAATTATTTATAATAATTAAAATATATGTACGAAAAAAAAAAACAAAGTTATCCATGAAAGAGATCTTCTAATGATTACGAAAGTACATTTCCTTTGGATGTAAAAACCCTCCTTGTCCGTGAAACGTAGTAAATATTAGTCTACAGTCGGTGTACACTTAGGTATGACAAAGACAAAGCTTTTTGCGTAAATACAATGGAAGAGGAACAAAGAGAGCAGGAGTATAATGTCTTTTAATTTTTCCACAAATTTCTCAAATATTAAAACACAGCATTATCTTTATGCTAAAAAATTATTAACTCAAAAGTTGTGATTTTAAAATACATCGCCTGAAATTGCTTGTTTTTTTCTTAATTTACACATTTTTTTATAATATTCAACAATAAGCGCGTTAATTTATTTAGAATCTTGTGAGCTTTCTCATATCCATTGTGCTAATTTCATTTTTCAACTTTGGGTACGATTTGATAACAACCTATTTTTGAACTGTAAAAAAAAAAAAAAATGATTTGATCGTGATTGTATTTTTTAAAGCCTTTTCAATAAATTAAATTGGAACTATTGTGTGTTGGTGCACGTATCGGTATGGATCGAAATCGACATTCGTGGCTGAGTGCCTCTTTGATTTTTAGATGGATATTTTAAGAGATACGAATTCGTCCAAAGTACCTCTTATATCCGATTCATCCAGATTATACTTAATTTTTATCACCCCGTACTTTTATCGAACCATTTATAAATCAATGAATCTTCACGATAAAAGGTACTGCACGTCCATCCGATCTAATTGTCACGAGAAGCGTAGGTTGCTCCTTCGAGTGTAAGCGTAGTCGGATTGTGCGATCGAAAGATTATCGATCGGATAACATTAAACAGTGAGAAGCGAGAGGTAGAGGAGGAAAAATATTGATAGGCTCGCCGAGGAAAAGCGATGACAATGCTTTCGCTTTGAAAACACGGGCTTGTGCAGAACTCGTACGATTGATTATTCTTCGTTACTACATGAAGATTAAAAATTGTATTTCAATGTGATTGGCGTGTAGAAGAATTATTACACGATTGCAATCGCCACTGTGCGTCCAATTTATTTGAAACAAAAAAAAATAAAAACAAAACAAAACAAAAAAAACCCGTTTGGTTCAACATATTTTTTATTTCTTTTTTTTCAATTATAAAAACAAAAACAAAAAAATATTTCGTCTCAACAAGTAATTATTTTCTGAAATTACTGTTTTTCGCTTTATTGGAGAAATATTGATTTCGCGAGATAATATATTTTTCCAGTTCATTAAAATTGTTTTAGTTGAAATAAGTATTGAAGGGGATTGGGGCAAAGAAACTTTTTTTTTTTTTCTGTTTCAAAAAAATCGAGCGCTTAGTGATAATAAAACGAGTGACTTGTTCGAAAAAAAAGAAAAAGAAAAATCTATTACCACCTTTAGACCACAGGAAAGCTTTACAGTGGCTTTAATTAGAGACAACATAGAGCTTTCGAAACCATTAATTAATTATTTTAAGTGCATTACACTGTTTGAGAGCGAAGTTGGATAAAAAATAATGATGATCAATTCCTTGGATAATGTAAAAAAAGGGGCCCACGAAATTTTGTAGTTTGATAGTACGGAATGTCGTAATTGATTTATTTTGGGAACCTCGTAATTTTTAATTATTTAAAAAAATTATTTCACCGCATCAAGTGTAATCGCATCAATGCGACGGAGCAGTGAAAATCTCAGCTAAATCAATCCACCAAAAAATTTCACGGCCATCGTCGTCTGGAAGAAAAAGAATTATCAAATTCCAAACGCAAGCGATTCCCGCAACGTAACAATAATTAAATTTTCCTCTTTTATTCCACGGGCCCGTCCAGGTGCGCCTTAAATACCAAACAGCTGCGTTACCTGCGTCATCGACTCGCGTCTTAATTTTTAGGATGTATTGCCCGCATAAATGTACACTCGCGTCCAAGCAGCGAACGATTACGCCACTCTTATCTCCTGTTTTGTTTTATTTTTTATTTTTTCACTCCAGGTATTCGTAGGCTGCTCTGGTCACGACGACCAAGGAACAAAAGAGGATTTTAATGAAAGGTTTCATTCACTTTGACGTTGACGATTTTGCCGGACCCCCTTTTTTTAACATTCCAAGGGTATCGATTTCCGTGGGTTAATTCGCTACTGTGTCTATCTTTTTTTTTTTAGTCAAGGGTCTCGAACAAATCGGCCATTCTTTGTTCTAATTTTTAATGCCAGATTCGTATATTTTCGTGCAGTCGAAAGTTCAGCCAAAAACATTGTTCCGATATTATTTTACTGCAAACGTGTACTAAAAAAAAAAAAATTAATTAATTAAAAAAAACAACATCACCAACGCAAAGAGCATCAACAACATTGAGCAAACAATCATTGAAACAAACACATAGAGTAAAATAAAATTCGTTCTATTTATAGTTACAGCGTAACTCAGATGCCACATCCCAGGTGTTTTTTACGCGTGCGATCATTATTTCCGCGAACAATGAAAAAAAAGCTTCTTCACGATCCTGAAAAAATGCGCACACTTCAATCGCAACCTGTACCCATTCACACTGTCTCGGCTCGAGCGTCCATCGTTGAAAAAAGTGCCATAACGGCACACGACGCACTGTATATTTTTCTTGTTTTAATTTTTTATTCAGAAAAAAAAAAAAAAAAAAAAAAAAAAAAAAAAAAAAAAAAAAAAAAAAAAAAAAAAA